CCTATCCATCCGTCAATACGGTTATGATTTATTAACTTGACCAACCGACCATACAGGACACTCCATAACGAGTAGCCCTCAAAGGATCAGTGTCCGCTCGCCGTTGCACGATTTGAACGTACCACGCGCGCGACTGTGGGGCATTGAATGCCAAAAGTGAGTTGGGGTTTGAACACCGAAGAGGGACTTGGCATACGAAAAAAGAATCGGTGAACTATATTTGTGAAGTTAAGTTGCATGGTTGGTTTTAAAGTCCTAGTCGACTGACGTAGGATCGCACTCAGGAGATCAACGCCTCGAGTGACAATTCACGGGTTCGATTCGGGCATTAACTGTGCATACCCCCTATGCTACAGCATACGAAACGCCCTCGGCTGATTCACCTTTGCAACTGCAAGTAAAAACTCTCGTGCGTGGATTGGTAGCTCGGCGTGGATACGCCCACCTAGGGATGGCAGCAGCTCCCTTGGGTGGAGGTAAGTTGTACCTCGCAGATCTTATCCTGTCGTAGGAGTCCCATGAGAGGTATAGCTGGTGCACTCGACAGGAGCAACATTCCTCCATGACACCTTGCATCTTCCACTCTTGCGTGACGCAGTCGGGAGGGTTCCCAACCGGGGCAAATGCACTTGACAATGTTTTTTCTATTGCACACAACCACGAACGCGGCTGTGTTCAGCCCTAAAAAATTGCACTCGTTTGAAACCCCTCGACGTTTTTTTTTTTCCCTGCACGTTGTGTCATGATGGCGCGCGTTGTCATAATGACGCGACCTCTCAGACGCCAAAATGCTACAATCGTTTAACACTCTCGAAATATCTCAAAAAATCCCTGACGTTCGTAGAAGCTTTCTCCTTTCACTGGCAGTTTTCTCGACCAGGCAGACTATCCACTTGTCCACCAACCCCCCAACACTGTGTCGACAAAAGAAAGCATTTCACAACAAATATCGATCGTTCGTTTTCATGATCGCACGACCCAGTATGGTGATGCCGGCGTGTGTCAGAGCCCGCAGCTGATAAACTTTAATAGCAAAGGTAAGATAAAAGCACTATGCACATCAGAAGATCGATTATCCCTTTAACCAAAGCCTGAATGTGTGAACACACAAATTCACCATGGACAGATATCTTCCTTGCTGGTGGTTATCATGAAAGGATCCGGAGAGGCTGATCCTTAAGCAGAGTACGGATACCACACTCGTGGTTCCTCTCCTTATAGAGATTTTTCTGGCCACGAGGTCCAATGCACCGGGTTCAAAGTATCTCATGGTACACTTTTTCTTCGCCAACATCAGGAGCCGACCTTTCGAACATGAAACTTCCATGCTGCAACCCAGCAATGCCACGACTGGGTATCAAGCTGCATTTGTCCAACTTGAGAGATGAGGAGGTATTCCCGTCTCAATTTCTTCATGCACCTGATAATTGGACTCGACAGAAGGGTAGGTGGGAGAACCCACATGTAAGGGTGCTGAGAAAGCTCCTGCCAATCACAGATAAGGCATCCATAGCATTGCAGCTGCGATGAAAGACCTCCAATATGAAAACTTCAGTGGGAAAACCCACATTCTGGCTTGTTTGTGCTGCTGCATCTTCCTCACGTGCGCATTGCTGCCTCTCTCTCTCTCTCTCTCTCTCTCTCTCTCTCTCTCTCTCTCTCTCTCTCTCTCTCTCTCTCTCTCTCTCTCTCNGAGTAGCTGTTGCCTATGGTAGGTGACCACTCCTGCAGACCGGACAGCACCGATTTGGGTGCGGACTGTGGAAGCATCGCATCCAATTCTCGCAGTTGCAGTTGCTGCAATGAATGGCACGACGTAAACAGATATCAGGCAACATGGCTCCCACAGGCAAGGAACACAGAGGCACGCCGACCGCAATTGCAGAGGCATTGTCGTTCGAGCCCCTGTCTACAAATTCGACATGACATGTCAGGGTGCCGGACGTGAGTGCAATATTGACTGTCATCATACGTATGAAAACAGAAAGACGCACGGGCTGTGCCTTCACTCTTATACACATCTAGATGTGTATAAGAGACAGCACACACACACACACAACACACACACACACACACACACACAACACACACACACACACACACACACACACACACAAGTGGGTGCCTGCCACAGCTACGCCCATGGTGCCCACCCGGTCCTGATTTCAACCCATGGGCCTCTCTCTACTCAGCATTCCACATGTACATGGACTGACTGGTGGCCAAGCGACCAAAGAAAGAACGAAAACACAGGGCCAAAGTCAGGCACAACTCAGCGCTTGGCACGGCCAGGCAGTACAATGTGCACTGGGCCATCTCATGTGGCAGGGGTGATACTATGTGGGCTGGGCAGTATCATGTGGAGCAGGCAGTATGATGCCGGATGGGTCATATTATGGGGATTGGATGGTCGTAACACACACACACACACACCACAGAGAATTCCTCTACCTTAACCCCACCTTGAAGCATGGAGGGGGCGAACATCCCCATCACAAAGTAGTTTGGAGGGCCGAAGCTGCAACCCTTCAAGGGGTCCTGCTGAGGACACTAACAACTGGCAAACAAATTATGAATCACCAGTTACCATACTGTGGGATAGCGGAGAGCACCTCTCCCCTACCATGATGCACTACAGTCGTGGGCTCAATCTGAGGTGATGAGGGTCATTCTGAGGGCTCAATCTCAGCACGAGGCTCAATCTGGGATCACGAGGGAATGAGAACTCAAAGACTGTGTGCAGTACAGCTAGCAGAAGCTCTCCACCAAACTGAGAGGCATATTCATATGACAGTGACATAGCAGGAAAGTTGCTGAAGTTGTGCTCAGAGCATATCAAGGGAGTAACCAGTAATCTCATCCACAAACCTGATCAGCTGTCACGGAGAACAGACATGGAGTTCAGGGAGAGCCCCAGCCTTTGTATGCTTACGAGGGTGTCTGGGCCTCCAGCGGGGAAAGCAAGTAAAAAGCTTCAGGGATGTCTGATGAGGTCTTGAAGCTAGAGCAAGCCCTCAAAGTGGCAAGGCCACCAGCAACCAGGCAGTCAAAATCAGGCGAAGTCGATCCTTGCTGCTGTGCACAAAGCAATGGCAAATACCAAGAAGGGGCAGCAACAGCATCACAGAGAGAGAAGGAATGAAAGGAATTGCCAGTACACGTGTGGATCTCAGATGGAGAACAGCAGCAGGAAAAGGGCTGGGACAGGCTGCAAACACTGACCTTCCTGCTCATTACTGCTGGTCAATCCATAACAATCTCGAGTTTAACCCACCAGCAGGAACCCGCGCCCCGCCCCCCCCCCCTTTCCCCCCAAAAATGCAACCTTATATGGAGGGTATGGGTTCGACCGGCAGTGGTCTGGTGGCCTCCTCACAAACGCTACGGTTATGGCACAGCAGTTTTTTTCTTTCTCAAGCCCACCAGTCTGAACTGCAGTTTGGGATTTCCAGAGTCAGTTCCACAAAATAGGCTCGGGTGCAATGACGATTTAAACAGACTATAAATTCAGATCCTCACGAGTACTGATGGTCAATCTCCTCCTCCTCTTGTCGTATTCCCCCTCGTACACACTGCAAGAAAGAGTATGACGTCTCCAGTTGCTGAAACCAGGTTCGCACCGTCAACAACATACTCAGCTGTGATCGAGTTAGGCTAACGAGTAGTAACAACCTATGGCAACTAACCTAAGTAAGTCCTGGAGTCCTAATCAAAAGCATTTGTGCACGAGAATCTGACTAAAAGCTTTCCACAAGACTCACTGACTCTTCTCGGACGCTGCACACAGAGGGGTCTTCGGACACCTCAAGTGATTGCGTTCTTGCCAGATACAGAAACAACATAAATCAATCTGGAGATATGTGATGATGAACCAAGGGTGTTTTCTAAAACCGGTTGTTTGCCATCTCCTCCAGTCTGTCCTTACCTCCATCTCCACTTGCTATTTCATCATGTCAATACCTCAGATATTACCATATCCTTGTCATCAATAGTTTCCCAACATCAACAATTCCAAACAGCCCATAAAGATGCTCTTACCAGTTCTTGGAAAAAAAGATTGCCCACAAGCAATGGGCTGCCAGTGAGCCATCTCCATAGTCGAAAGTCCTCTCTGGTAATTGGACACTTTACTGCAACCAAGCAGACAATGCTAGATATCCTCTATCTAACCCTCTGAGCAAACTGGACATTAGTTCCTTTGGATCATTCCTGTGTTCTTTTCTTGTTGTATATTTAATGATCACTGGTTAACAGGGAGAGCCAGGTCCACAAGTAGCCACTGGACACTCTTTGTCATAGTCTTTTTCATGTCATTTCTTTGTAGCCAGTGGAAACTCCTTGGAGAATAGTCTTCTCCATGTCATCTCCTTGAGGCAACTGGGAACTCCTCGTCATGTTCTTCTTCCTGTCATCTCCTTGAAATCCATGTATCTTCCTTCTCCTTGCCATTCCATGCACCTTATCAGGAAAGCTGAACTTGGAAAACAGGCTCTGACGGACTGTTTCGTTGGACTTCCACCAACTCATCAGGAGGTTAAACCTCGACAGCCTGACAGGGATGGTTGCTCAATGCAAGCACAGCCCATCACAGCAGCAGTGTGCTTGTCAGCCACATTCTACAGAGTATTTGGCTCACGGCATTCGTGAGAGACCCCACGAGGAACTACAACCACCCAAAACATGAGGTACAACAATAAGGAACTTCTTCAGCAAACAATTCTGCAAACATTTCCCTTTTCCACACATGAAAGACAGGAGAACCTAGGGGAGGAGGAGGAGGTACAAGGTTCAAGAAAGAAAGATCTCAGACATATAAAGTAGGGGAGTGAGGAAGGCAGGGACACACACACATCATAACATGTGGGAAAGGGACAAAGGGGTGGAAATACAGGGAGGAGAGACATCCGGTGGGGTGACGAGAGCCACGGAGGGGGGGGGGGCATGAGGGAGGAAGCAAGACAAGGGAGACGCTTCTGTGCAGTGACATCAATTCCACTGCACTCTAAACCGCCGAATCTCGACCATCTATAACATGGCACACACACAGTCTGAAGCAAACATGTCCGCCGCACTCAGGCACCCCATGTCACAAGTAGAGACCAGACTAGGAGCCCCGCAGGGTACCTTTATAAGCTTTCCCTGCAAAAAATAGCTAGAATGTGTTGCAGACATATTCCAAAATATAAGAAGGAAACACTGCTGCGCAACCGATCAGAAAAAGGGAACCAAGACAAAGAGAGCTTAGCACACCTTCAAGAGGATTGCTGCTGCGCGTTTGTGAGGAGAGTTCTCAACAAGCCAGTCTAATGCAGGCGCCACCTGCAAGATTATCACAAAAGCGGACATGGATCACAACTCCAAGGGGGATGAACTGGCACATATGACAGAACAAAGGGAGAGTGAAAAATGGGCGAACAGGTAACATTCAAAACACTCAGAAATTTCATTCGAAACTTGACACAGAGAAGGGTCTGCAATTTTTGTCACGAAGAGTAGCAGGATCTCTGCAGTGCAGCCTACGACCAGACAGTGTCACGAGAGAAGGGTATATACCTTATTTTGGTTGTCCTCTCTCGCCTTCACTGCTTCTCCCCACTCTCCATTTGATACACACCCATCTACTCCCCATAACCTCAAGACACCTTAATTCTGTCCCGAACAGCTTCATTCCTTGCACACACAACTTCCCAGTTTTACAATCTGGACTTAACTCTGCAGGATCAATTTTGGTTTAGGGTTCTGAATACTCTACGGAGGCTGGATTTAAATATTTCATTTTTTTAGGTGGGTGCCTTTTCCTCTGGGATTTTCTTATTCGGTTGTTCAACTTGTTTTATGATTTATATCTATATACAGGAGATACCAATTTTGAAGAATTCGCCAATTTTTTTATGAATGACTTTTTTGGGGACTCAATCCCGTGGTATGTTGCCACGTTTTGGATTTCACAAGTATATGGCATCATGACTGGATCCCACCAGAGGATGCCAGAATTCCTCGCCACTTTCTACAAGGGCCATGAACCACGAAGCTGGGCGCTGGTCCCCAGAACACAATGCCGCCGTTCCATTTAGTACTCAATGAAACGCATAATGAACCTTCTTGGTCAGTCTGTGCATCCTATCCGGACGGAGTTCGCAGAGACTTTATAAGACATGGTTAGAAGAAGACATGAATGCGCCGTACCTCCGAGCATCTGGGCATTCCACATGCTATCCATATGCACACGAATAATATACCCACTTTACACTACCTATCACCGAACTGCCAATTGGTGTCACCCAACTCCCAATTGGTGAGATCGGGAACGAAAACGTTTTACTATAATATATGATATTCACAGTATGAAACAACGTTTTACTTGCTAGAGATCGTTTGCTTTGCTATAACATGATCTTCACAGTATAAAACAATGTATTTACTTGCTAGAGATCGTTTGCCTTGAGGAGTGGCAAAAAAACGTTGTACTTGTCCTAATTACGAACACTGCCAAGTTGCCAACCCCGCGTCTGATCATGTCTGACTCGCTGCTAAGGATATGTGATCAACCTGGCCTGGATGGCCCCTAGATTAGCATCAAATTTCACACAGGACTGTGCATTTTACAAACATAACTCGGTGCCGATGGAATTTGTTGGTTGGTGGTGGAATTCGTTTTCAAAATGACATTGCGTCCACGATGACTTTACTTCACGGGTCAGGACTCTGGTTCAAATCCGGGATAGCCCATTTATTCCTTATTTGTTGCACCTTTCGTTTATATGAATTGTAGTATAATTCTCTGGAATATATTTTCATTCTCTTTCTCATATTATTATTATTATTATTATTATTATTATTATTATTATTATTATTATTTAAATCTATTATACTACCCTAGTACCCTACACGCTTGTTCCTTTATGCAAAGACCTTCCCACACAATCCACAAATCAACTCCAAGATCTACATCTATGACATATCATTCAAGAGCAACCTATTAGCCCACTTTACACCTTTCTGCTCATGTACACGCTGGTAATGTTATTGCAATATTGATGTTTGCGTGCAAAGAGCAATCGGTCATTGCTTGTCTTCTTTCTTCTTCTTCTTCTTTCTTTCTACTCGTGTCACAAAACCTGACCACATCGTCAGAGTAAATGTGGTTCCCAACCCCTCCAGCCACTCGCTTCCACAACCTTCTCTTCGCTCCATCTTCCTTCTGCCTAATCTCTCCCTACAGCCTTCACACCAACTCACAAGAAGTCGGATCTCTCTACCACTCACGACCACGATCTGCCTGCACCTAAACAGCAGTCACCTCTCTGCTAAATAGGGTCAGATCCATCCAGGAAATTGCTAGTGCGACTGTCACACTACAGGACCACGCTTGTTAGAGTAGAGGAGGGTATCAGAACGAACGAGTGAGGTGGATACGTTGCCGTTGTCTTTCCCGTTGATGTCGCAGGCGGTAGACGGAACATGAGCTAAGCTTTTTCTGTAATACACTATGGTGGCATAGCTGCAACAGACTTTTCTACGGGACATGAGCTAAGCTTTTTCTGTAATACACTATGGTGGCATAGCTGCAACAGACTTTTCTACCAATAGGTGCGGCAGAAGACCTTTGAACCGGCTAGCAGCAACAACACAGCTAACAGCACCCACCACAATCACCGGCTGTTTACGTCTCCCATATAGGAAGCCGAATGCAAACCTTGAAATTCATCACCGTTGGCTATCAGTGCAGAATTCACGATACAGCTGACCATAGGTATGAGAGTCATCATCATCAGCTAATACAAGTGCAAAAAGGGATCCTAGCATGACAGATTAAGCAGATCGAGGGAAAATTCTGTATCCACTAGTTACTAAGTAATCTTCCGCCTACGAGTGCGGAAAAGCGATCCTACAATCTCCCCTGAGGCTCTCTCCTGTGTGCATTTTACCGTCTCCTTTTGATATTGATGCAAGATGAATGTATTACAGGAATACATGCTTCTGTGCTTGTAAGCCGTGCTTCACTACGACTTGTCATCGTCGCTCTTCCATTGGTTTCATGTTTTTTTCAAAACCCCACATTCGGCTGTTCCGCAAAACAGAATGACTGGATCCAACAAGAGAGAGCAGGTAACAGTACCCCTGGGCCACGTGGACTCTATTAACCTGATACCTGATCTGTGTGAAAGTGGAACCTACGTCCGAGAAGAGAGAGCAGGTACCAGTACCGTTGGGCCACGTGGACTCTACTCTATTATTAACCTGATCTGTGTGAAGTACTTGGCCATCAACTGTCTGATTCCATCCTTGAAAGATCCGGTGCGAGATCTTTCACGGTCTGAGGCGAGTCATTCAAGCCGACTGGAGAAGGAAAGTCACTGTGGTAAAAAATCAGATAACAAAACTGCAGAACGGATATCATAATGGTTTTTTTGCTAAAAGTTGGTGCCTTAACAATTGGCCCTGCCAGTGGGGTCCATGAAGGCAGAAACCAATTTGGTTTTGGACAAGTGGCTTTATAGCAATTAGCAGAGTTGAATGGACTTACCTGCACGCTCTGTTCTGATTCAGTCGAAGTGGACAGGCGGAGGGGGTGTTGCTGCGAGGAGGGAGTGTGACCAACACAGTAGAGCAAGAGGTCCAGGAGGAACTCAACCCCACGTTACGGGTGTTAGCCGCCATAACCATAGATTAGATGGAAGAGATAATTGCAGAATGTGAGTAGCAAGGGCTCCAGGAGGAACCTGACCCTGCCTTAACGGGTGTTATAGCCATAGATAAGATAAGAACAGGTAAATGTAGAATGTGAGTTCTGTGGTTGATCTTGTGAGTTGGTTAGCCTAAGGATGAGACGGCTGGACCCGTTTTCCAGCAGGTGATGCTCCCCACCAATAGATGGAGCCTCTCCCCGGGTGCTAGTGGTATCAGCTTGTACCAGTACCACTAGCACGGCAGGGGGTATTTAAAAAAAAAAAAAA